AAGTCGAGTACTTTGCTCAACAGAGTCGTCCCCTGTGGCACGAGCAATGTCACGGCTGGTGACAGGTAGCGTATCTAGACGCAGTGAATAGAAAGTTTCGTTTCCTTGGGTAGATTCATCTTCCACAATGTCAAGTGGCAATCTTGACAAACAGTCTGCTTCAGCGTTGTTACTTGATTTCTTGAACTGGAGCGAGTGACTGTACGTAGACAGCGTCACTGCCCAGCGCTGCATCCGTGCAGCCAAGCAGGCAGCCAAGAGTACTAAGCGCTTTTTCGTTTATTATGCGGTACCAAAACTTTTCCATACCACGACTTTGTTTCCTATTTGTAAAAGGCCTTATACAGAATATGGGTAGATGGTCACGGGCGGCGGAGAAAAGCTCACCGGAGAAAAGCTCGCCGAAAAACCGGCAGATGCGGAAAAAAGCTCACTGATCTTTTTTTAACTTAGTGGGTTCCGCGTTTATTGTGGCAATTTAACACAATTTGCATTTGTCACTTCATTAAAATATGTCCTCTTTTTTTTGTGATATTCTTGAAGTTCATTGGGCATATTTACTAATTCGTCAGAAATTAGTAATCACCCATTCTCTATGTCAATGAAGCCGCAAGTATAAAATGAGAACATCGTACACCGGTAAAAAAGACAACAATTTATTGACAGTGCGACGTCGGTAGCTCTGTCAAATAAAGATGTCTGTTCTTTGCGAGCTAATATGAATAGCGGTGTGTGAACCGTTTATGCTCCAAATATTGTGTAGTGCCTAATAGATAAGTAGGTGTTTCTTCATTTAATCAGTGTCGGCTACGCTGTTTTCTTTCTGCTAATTTCAGTAGCAAAACTTTAGTTGCGAGAACAACTTCGTCCTGCCGTATTTGTTGTCTTCACTCCGTCATCGTCGTTTGAGCGGTTTTCATCATGTATAACCTTTACCAACTCGCCCTATTCGCTACCTTACAGAACACTACTTCTTATACAGGTCACGAGTAACAACAGTACCAGTGTGCAGCTCTGAAGGTTATGGGGGGCTCACCGTAGAAGGGCACTATCACACAAAGGCAACGTGTGGGAACACCAGCACGAATGGCTAGAAAACGTGCATGTCCGTGGAAGAAAGAAATCTCGATATCCTACTGACTGTTTTATCCTGTTGTTAACAAGAGCTTCAAAGAGAATTTCAGGCACCGCGTTGTTGCGCATGCACTTTCGGATTTTCGGCATTTACAGTTTTGATTCTTAGGTTTTAGGCAGACAATATTCAGTTTTCAAACTTTCTCCTGTTCTTTAAGTTCATAAAGATTTCAGTTAGGGTTTCGTTGCCTTGACACTAAGTCACAGAAAACACTGGCCCGCAATTGTTAATTTGGGAGCAATATATCCAATAAGCTTAACAAATAATACAAAAGAGGACATTTTCTTTTTCACAAAGCTGACGAATTTTGATGATAATAAATTGATATATGTTACGCATGATCCAACAGCCTCCTTATAAAAAGAAGAAAACAAAATTGATGAGCTTTTCTCCGCATACGCTCAATGGTCGGTGAGCTTTTCTCCGCATCCGCCGGCTTTGCGGTGAGCTTTTCTCCGGTGAGCTTATCTCCGGTGAGCTTATCTCCGGTGAGCTTTTCTCCGGTGAGCTTTTCTCCGGGATTCGATGGTCACAAATGTATAAAATAGCACCGGCCGAAACATGATTTATATCTACGTTCGTGAGGCAGATGTCAAGCGATGTTGGAGAGTCTGGAGTGACTCTGGTTGGTACTGAACGTTATTATATTGCTACATGCATGCTATTGAATGACGTCTCGGAATTCTCTGGCGTGGTGATTGTCCGGTAGCGTATTAATATTTATATCCCCGAAATTTAAAAGTGAAGCGGATACAGATTCAAGAAAGCACAGCGTAGTCTCAATAAAAGCCATAAATTCATACGCATTGCCAGACGGTGGCCTGTACAAAGCACTAACTATGGTGCACGAGACTTCAACCAATAAGTTTTCTATATCTTCATTTATTCTCGTTAGATTGTCCATAACCCGGTACCGCAAGTTATCTTTGAGGTAGATGGCTATAGACCCCTTTCAAAAAATCTGGCAACAGCGAAAACCCGCTGAACGAGTCCAACAACATTGGGCGGCCGGCGCCATTGGGAAGGACCCTGTTGCGGCCGGCATGGTTGTTTTGACTGTAGCGTTCTTGTTTCGTCGATCCCTTCGCCTCTGTATGGCTGCAGGTAGCGTTTTCCCGATCACGGGTTGGGTAAACGACCTTTCCCAGCTCCCAGCCGTTAAAGATGATGAGGTATATCGCTTCTTCAAGAGCCGATCGGACTCGGAACGACAATTCGACAGAAGTTACAACTTTCTCGTTGAGGGGTTCGTGGTCGCCGCATCTATAAAGGCCAACTACGCAAGAAAAAGGTAATTACTAAGATCTTTGTAGTTACGACATCAAACATGTCATCAAAAAATGATAGGAACCGGTTATAATTTACGGGCTGTAGTTAGAATTAAAACTTGTGTTTGGGCAAGTTGGTTCATACTGATTTAAAAGGTTAAAAAGCGCAACACAACAAGGACAATAAAGACACGAAGACGACAGCGCCCGTCCTGTCGTCTTCGTGTCTTTATTGTCCTTGTTGTGTTGCGCTTTTTAACCTTTTAAATCTGTAGTTAGAAGTCGCCAGTACTCTCCGGATGTGCGACAAAACAGGCGCAGGGGTCCCGCTTCTTTGTCGCTCGGACAGTCGCGCGATGAAGCACACCGCATAAAAGCGACGAGCGAGCGACCAAGGCGATGAGGGTCGTTTTCTAGAAATCCCAAACCAAGCGACGCGACAAGCGACAGTGAAACATTTTCGTTGCTCGTAGCCGACTTTCGTCGCTTGTGTCGCTTAACTCGTCGCTCGTCAAATCGTGTTTTTTTACTTGGAATTAAGACCTAAAATTTCAATGCGCAAGTTAACCAGTAAAGGACGTATCCGACACAAGTTCCTACTTGATGCGTCGAGTCCCTTTTTCTTGAGGGGGATTTTAGAGTTTAACGATGTAGAGCAGCAAATTTTGCAGTGAAGCAGAAGTTGCAAGCGCGTGCATGTTGCTTTGCATAAAGCACGCGCGTCACAGATGTCTGCGCTACAGGCAGGTTAAAGTGTCAGGTCGTATGGCTTCATGCCTACCTAACATATAATTTACACGCGCAAGTTTGAAGCACCGCGAGCTCGTGCATACCTGAAGCTAGGCGCTCGCGAAGCTGTCACGTCCACAAGCGATACCACGAGCAACATTATATTTGTATTTGACGCCTTGATTTCTTCAAGCTAGCTGAAACTTGAAAACTCTACCTCCATACGCAACAAAGTGAGATTAAAAACACCTGACTCAAACACCCAAGGAAGCGTAGCGTGAGAACGGTTCGTGTTCCGTTTTTGCACTTCAGCAGGGAAACGTTTGCGCGGCTACGCCGCCGCCAACCGATAACGAGTACATTTCCGAATACGTACCTTAATGCCAGACTTGTCCAGATACCCACTCTGCTTACAGAAGGGTGCAGCAGTACGTTGGCATTGTGGGCAGGAATTGACTAGCGTCTACGGCCAACGCAGCGTATGCAGCGGCGCGCACTATCCTGCAGCATGGCGGCTGCCACTAGTTGCTGTTGCGTACGACAGGTGGAGCTTTTTTCTCTGATGGGCCTATACCGCCACCCCTTTTTTCGTTTTCTCGGCACACACACTTTCCCACTTGTATCCGTGTAGATATGGTGGTTTGTCATCTTTCTTGAGAAGAAGCTTGCTGCTTGAAAAAACCTTACAGGGTCGAATTCAGACGGTTTGAAGGTGGGACATGGACAAGACATACAAAGCTCAAAATATAAGAGACAAAGATGAAAGAGCGTGTTGGTGAGAATACAGGAGTCAAAGAAAGAATAAAAACACTTAGGGACAAGGACAGACAGCACAGTTCTTTCACATGCTTGAGAAGAAGCTTGCTGCTTGAAAAAACCTTACAGGGTCGAATTCAGACGGTTTGAAGGTGGGACATGGACAAGACATACAAAGCTCAAAATATAAGAGACAAAGATGAAAGAGCGTGTTGGTGAAAATACAGGAGTCAAAGAAAGAATAAAAACACTTAGGGACAAGGACAGACAGCACAGTTCTTTCACATGCTTGAGAAGAAGCTTGCTGCTTGAAAAAACCTTACAGGGTCGAATTCAGACGGTTTGAAGGTGGGACATGGACAAGACATACAAAGCTCAAAATATAAGAGACAAAGATGAAAGGGCGTGTTGGTGAAAATACAGGAGTCAAAGTGTTTTTATTCTTTCTTTGACTCCTGCATTTTTACCAACACGCTCTTTCATCTTTGTCTCTTATACCTTGAGCTTTGTATGTCTTGTCCATGTCCCACCTTCAAACCGTCTGAATTCGACCCCGTATTGTCATCTTTCGTTAACCAGGTTTCTGTTAGTACAAAACATTAAATTCCACACTCAGAGACTGAAAAAAATATTTCGAGATTGTCAACCTTATTCTTAATACTTCTCACATTTAGATGTATTGTTGAAAAGTGTCCATCCGCTCCTTTATACTTTTTATTGCATGCTTGAAACACTAAACTCCATTTTATTTTCAGTCCGACGGCAGTCGACGCTAAATTCGACGGAGCCAATAAACCAGTACCAAAAGTGCAGCGTCATGGCGTTCACCGGCTTCAAGTGCTTATTATCACTGATCACTATCGTACAGTTAAATTCTCCGTCATCCTTTCTTTTTCTTTTTTTTTTTTTTTTTGGGGGGGGGGGGGGAGGGTGGTATTTTTTTGCGTGGTTGGTTTACCGGTGGTATGTATAAAACCCAACAAAGATAACAACTGCCGTAAGAATGCAATTTTGTCGCTGCTTGATGTGTTTCATCGCGTAGTTCTATCGCGTTCCATCGCTGAAAATAAATACTTTATGCGCTTGGTTAGATAAAGACTAGAGGATCCATTTTAAGCTTCGTTGGAAATTTTGTTTGCATGAACTACGAAGACGTCCGAGAGGTACTGCGGATCCCCGGCTGGTTTCTCGGACAAAAACTTGAGCGCAACCTCCGCCACGTCTCTCTTGAGTATCGTCTTTGATTCCTCGGACAGCAATGGCATAATCGGATTTAGTGAAAGTTGGATTTCTGAAAAAAAGAGGAGTTAACATGTATTCCAAACTCGGCAGGGAAGAGCGATAAGTAAAGCGCAAGAAGACAGTTCGCGAAGGAAAGACACACTTGTTTGATGAAATGTCAATTCCTCGGCCCTAATCTGGACACTTGACGAAAAAGTCGGCGAGAAATTCGACGGCTGTGATTGGCCAGCGCCAAGGTCAAGTGTGCACCGGTCAATCACGGCCGCCGCATTTCTTGCCGACGTTCTCGCCAAATGTCCAAATTAGTGCTCCTGGTCGTCTGAAGGGCTGTCCAAACAGGGCATTTCTAGAACGCGTGAAGAGCGGGACTTCTCCGCCCTATGAAGTGAAATTGCAACAGGGTGTGCATAGTTGAGCTAGTTGTCTGTATGAATGAGGCCACAGACACAGCGTTGACTTACCGTGCAACAGGGCCTGTTCTTGGACTACAATCTAAAAAAATGTATGTGCGTCTACTTTCCCGCACAACATTTGGAGAGCTAATCACCGCAACCTACGGAGGCAGCTCAGCGAATGACGATGCCGAAACATATGTTTAGATCAAAAACACAGTTTGAGTTGTGACATTAAGCAATGCAAAACGTCACTATTGCATTGCTTAATGTCGCAACTCAGACTGCGTTTTTTGGTCTAAACATATGTTTCGGCATCGTCATTCGCTGAGCTGCCTCCGTAGTTTGCGGTGATTGGCTCTCCGAGTGGTGTGCGTGAAAGTAGACTTACAGACATTTTTTTAGAGTGTGGGTGGAATTCAATGTTAAATGCATTGAGCTATGCCATTATTTTTTTTTTCAATTTGCCAATAAGAGTTTGGCATTCTTACATCATCACAACCCCTGTGCAAGAAGCAGACAGACTTGCGCTCCACATAGAGTTACATTTGACTGATGTCACATAACAATGTCACAACTCCCGTAATGTGACTTTTGGTGTTCTATAGTGCGCTCGCCATTTACAAAATTTGTACTTGCTACTTTTTTGAGCTTGATAAATGCTTCGAGGGTTTTGGATTCCCACTCTATTTTCTTGATATTGATATTACATCGCTTGTTTTGTTTTTTTGTGTTTCGTTACGCTTTAGTCCAACCTTCAGCTTGTGACAGCGGGTCAACTTAAGAAAGTGTTCTGTACTAAAGTAGTCCTGGCAACAACACGTGCACAGCATCAGAATCAGACCGCGATGTTCTACATCTAAAGATCCTTGAAGCTGTTCCATCTTTCAAATCGCCTCTTTAACGCGAGATGCTCAGTCAGGAAAGGATGTATTTGGCAAAAATACACGCGTGCGACAAAGACGTTTGCATTAGCGTTGCATTGGTGTATATGCGAACCAAAAGAGTGCATTTTCTTCAACACTATCTAGCTTGTAAATATTTACACGACGCGTTTTCCTTTCCTCGTTCGGGTTGTGTGGCGGGGAGATGTAGCTGTTTCGCTAACTCTTTGAACAGGCTGGGGGCGGCAATATCTACTGATTTGGCGGCACGCCGGGTTACTGTTGAGGTGAGATTACGCGCGTGCACAGCCATAGCAAATTTTGAAGCGTTCAATAAACTCTAGTTGCCAGTTAGCGCTTGTCCCGTGTACTTCGTCTTTTTGTCCAGTCTTTTGCGCTGTTTTTAAATTTTAATATGAATGTATTTTGGGGGTTTTAATCAGAGCAGAATAAAGATTTCTTTGAATTTTTTTTTTTTTTTTTGATGCGATAGCATTATTAAGCTGCTACTCCAGAATTTCAGCTGATGTGTCCTGGCCGTTTTTCAGGTTCCCCGCTGAACTTAGCGAAAAATTTTCGTCACATGACCTTTGCACCCGTACAGTTTCCCCGCTAAATTTAGCGAAACAATTGACGTCACGTGAGCAATGCATCAATTCAGTTCCCCCTCTAAATTTGGCGAGAAAATCGATGTCACAACAAATGACGTCACGGGACCTACAGACAAATGCAGGTTTTCCCGCGAAATTTAGCGGAAAACTTACGTCACGTAACCTGCGCATAAATTCAGTTTCCTTCTAAACTTTCCGTGTGTGTAACAATAATTGCTATCCCATTAATAGATAATCCCCCCTGTGGTTCCCGCTTGTTTTATTATTATTTCTCTCTACAACATTGGTTGAGTATCAAGCAGAAAGAGGACAAGGCTATTGTAGTGTTTGAGGGGCTATACTGCATTAGGATATATGCGCAGGAAGGCTTACGGTACGACGACGATGGCGTGGAGGGCAGCGGCGGCCCGCGGCCAAGCGGACACGCCGAAGGAAAAAGGACACGTCCAGCCCCGACGAACGCTGCTACACTTCTTCTTTATTCACGCGCGCAAGGGCGATTAAAGGAAAAGGGGCACCCTGGTGGCGATTCATAAACTCAATTACAACATTTCTCCCTTCCTAAAATAAAGCAAAAGGAGAGCAAAAAGAAACGAAAACTATCAGGCTACGAAAGGTATTTACAACATATCATTTTCTTGCTTCCGTAAAATAAAAAAAGAGAGAACATGAAGAACGAAATAAATCTGGGAACCAAAACTATTTACAACACATCCTATCCCGCAACGTTTCATCATGAGCACACAGGGCACAAAAATTCATTCAGCACACACATAATCGCAGACATAGTCGTCGAGCCAAGCTGGTCGTTGCTTGGGTCGCTGCGGTCGGGCTGGGGGACGTGAAGCTGGATAGTCATTCATCAGCCACCAAGAGGAATGAAAGAAGGTTGCTCCTGTTCGATATTGTCATGATCCGGAGTTGGTGAGGCAGATCTGGCAGAGGTTGATGCTTCGCTGTACTCGGTAGTTCCGCTCACTTCCGGTGACGACTTTGCGGGGGAGGACTGGTCCAGATGGCTTGGTCTAGGGGAACTTCGCTCTGATTCTACAGAGTGTAGACCAGGCGGAGGAGGAGCACTGGCGGACGCTTCACGACCAATCACGGAGGGTGGTTCAGTGCCGAAGACACCAGGAGGTGGAGGAATTCGTGAAAAGCTGACGGGAGGAACGGCAGGGATGGGCTGAAGAGGTGCACAAGGAAACAAAGCTTCATCAGCCGCCCAGGATGATCTGTGTGATCTGTGTGAGTACGTAGGTTTGAGAGGTGTACGAGTAAATTTGTCGGCATTCCATGTTGTACCATCATCAAGTGTATATGTAGAAGGACCAATTTTCGCAGAAATCATCTGTGGTTCAGAATACTTGTGCTGAAATTTACCATGGTGTCTTGGCTTATGGACCTTTACATACTGTCCTGTTTTAAAAGATGGCACTTTCACTGCTCGCCTTGAGTCCGAGTACTTTTTCATCTTTGCTTGGTACGCCTGTACCCTTTCCGGCAGGTCGCGCTGGACAATGTGCCTAGGTAGAGGTGGATCCGGAGTTGCTCGTCCTTGGATGTGTAGGCGAGTCCGATGATTTCTTGCATGCAGCAGAAACGCCGGGGTTTCACCTGTGGCCGCATGCCGAGTGCTTCGATAAACTCCAAGGTATTCAGTGATGGCCTCTCGAAGCGGACGGCGTTGCACCATTGCCAACTGGATGACGGACTTTAGGACTCTATTGAATCTTTCAACTTGCCCATTACCTTGAGGGTGATAAAGGGAAGATTTTACGTGTTTTATGCCATTTGTCTGTAGAAACTGGTTGAACTCATGGGATGTGAATTGTGGACCGTTATCTGTTGTTATCTCGAGAGGCAGGCCCTCTCGAGAAAAAATCGATTTCAAAAAGTCGACGACTGACGCTGTCGTGACGTTGTGGGACGAAGCCACTTCCGGCCACTTGCTGTGGTAGTCCACCAAAGTAATGAAGTAACGTTCTTTTGGTGGGGCTTGCTCAAACGGCCCAACGATGTCGATGGCAAGCTTGGTCCACGAATGGGAAGGAAATGCTACCGGCTGTAGGGGCGCCGGGGAAGCCTTAGCGGGCTTGTCGGTGGAGTGACAAACAGTGCAATGCTGGATTACGTTCTTGATGTTTTCTGCGATATGTGGCCACCAATAAAGTTCCTTTATAAAACTCGTCGTCCTCGATATTCCTTGATGGGTCTCATGGCCGACCTGGATAACCTTGTCGCGCAGACTCGGCGGCACGATGATCTTCTCTCCTTGGAAAAGGAGTCCGTCGACCACGGAAAGCTGATCTCTAAGAACGAAATATGACCTGAGTTCTGGAGATAGCTTGCCTTCCTCTGGCCATGATGATGAAGTATATTTCATGACTTCACGCAACGCAGGGTCTCGTGAAGTTGCCTCCTGGAATTCCTTCTCTGTGAGGGAAGCGCAGACGATGGAAACAATTTCTTCTCTAAAAGTCGTATAATTGTGCACCGTAACGGAAAGCACGCGCTCCCGGAGGGGCGTCACGTGCTGGTCGTCGCTCGCAAACACAAGCCGATGGGCGCTGTTGGTGGCGCGGAGATAAATTGAAACCTTCAGCTCGGGATGAGCAGGCAACGAATTGCTGGCGCTCGCCGTCTTGGACACGGCCGGATGACGGTGACGGTCGAGCGGCGTTGTTTTGCGTCCGCGGCGCGAAGACCCGCTCAACACAAGACTGTACTTGCGAGTTTAAATTTGTTGATAGCTGGCGGTACTGGGGGGCTATGTTGCGCTTTTTGCACTCCCAGGAGACTAGGGAGAGGGAAGTGACGTCAACAACGCAGCAAATGCAGATTGGATGTTGATTTTGTTTTTTTCTGTCAACATCCAATCTGCATTTGCTCTAGTAGTTGACGTCACTTCCCTCTTCCAAGTCTCCTGGGAGTGCAAAAAGCGCAACATAGCACCCCTGATCGCAATCGCGAGAGGACTGCTCGAACTGCTGAGCAAGGAGTACAGCACGTTCGAGGCTTGGTGCCAGAATGTAGTGTTTGAGGGGCTATACTGCATTAGGATATATGCGCAGGAAGGCTTACGGTACGACGACGATGGCGTGGAGGGCAGCGGCGGCCCGCGGCCAAGCGGACACGCCGAAGGAAAAAGGACACGTCCAGCCCCGACGAACGCTGCTACACTTCTTCTTTATTCACGCGCACAAGGGCGATTAAAGGAAAAGGGGCACCCTGGTGGCGATTCATAAACTCAATTACAACAGCTATCAAGCAGAAAGACGACGTGGCTTATGCACCAATTCAGTTTCCCGCTAAATTTAACGGAAAAGTTACGTCACGTGACCTATGCACCAATTCAACTTGCCCGCTAAATTTAGCGAAAAATTTATGTCTTGCGACCTATGCACGACTTACGTTTCTCCGCTAAATTTAGCGGCAAATTGATGTCACGCGACCTATGCACCAATTCAGTTTTCCCGCTAAATTTGGCGGGAAAATTGATGTCATAAGGCCTATGCACTCATAGAGGTTCCCGCTAAATTTAGCGGAAAAATTGACGGTACGTGAGCTATGCACCAATTCAGCTTCCCCGTTATATTTAGCGGCAAACTGACGTCACATCAGCTATGCGCCAGTTCAGTTTCCCCGCTAAATTTAGCGGAAAAATGGACGTCACCTGACCCATGCCCATTTCAGATTACCCGCTAAATTTAGCGAAACGATTGACTTCACGTGACCAATGCACCAATTCAGTTTTCCCTCTAAATTTGGCGGGAAATTCATGTCACGTGACGTGACGTCACGGGAACTACAGACAAATTCAGGTTCCCGGCTAAATTTAGCGGAAAATTTACGTCACGTAACCTACACATAAATTCAGTTTCCTCCTAACCTGCCCGTCTGTGCGAGGATAAATACTATCGCAGTAATAGATAATCACTCCCGTGGTTTCCACTTTTTTTATTATTTGACACTACCTCTCTACAACTTTGGTTGTGTATCAAGCACAAAGAGGACAGGGCTCTTGTTTAATCCAGGACAGATCTCAAAAGAGGCACTCGATCACGAAGTCTATCAGAGGAAAGTCTCCAGTAAGTTCAAAGAACAACCCGTTCTGCATTCCTTCGGGCCATTTTAAGCGTCCCACATCAAACAGAAAGCAAACCAGTCAAGCAACTTTCGACCCTACTCTCACGGCGGTGTGTGTCGAGGAATGCTATTTTGCAAAGGGTAGCCTTATTCCAACGCCACAGGTACACACGACCATCTTCGACTAAGTTACATTCTCCAAAGTTGGCACACAAAATTTTTTATAGAAGTCAATTCCCACAACTTTCCGCCCATCCATTGGGAAGTAGATTCAACCGTCGCGCCCCTACAGGCTAGGCTGAGATCTACACCCAGGTGGATAACAACATGAATTATTTATTTCTGCTTTTGACGCTGCCCCCGGCTGACGTAGCCGAACCTTTACAAAAATCATCAATGAGTTTCGATTGAGTTTCTAATGTATTCTTATAAAACATATGAGAAACCCAATTGAAACTCATTGATAATTTTTGTAAGGGAACGTTCTGCCGGAGCTCCTCTTTAATTACTGAAGTTCCCATTGAAGATGAATCCCACTCGAACGCTGAAGTAGCAGTAATGTCTACTTTGTACCCCACGTTCGTCGGAGAAAGATGACGTAAACAACTCCGGTCACAGGACTTGTTTCGGGTAAACAAAGAGCCCTTGGAAAATTAAAAGCATGCTGAAGAATCGCCCCATATAGTTTGATCTCCTCCCCGAAAGGCGTGGATATGAGAAATGATGCCGCGATGGCCAAAAACACTTACGGATGAATTCGTCTCTATCCATGCTGCGTGAGTCTTGAGTTAGCACTTCGCACGTGCGCGGCTTGAGGTTGGCTTTCTGAAGAACGTTTAGCATATAGGAGGTGAGGCCCTGCCCGTCTCCTATATCCTGGCTTTGTGGAATAAAACGCTCGACAACCTACGCGTTAAGAAAGAGACATTAGATAGCTTCCCATTGGGGGACCCAAAGCTATCTGGGAGACCCAAAGCGTGGGGCCCCCTGCTGTAAAACTCTCTATTACGAACAATCTAGCCCGGCGTGTGAAAGCACGTGCAGTCTGCGCATAAAGGCAATTTTGGCAGGATTAAAGTCGCACGTGCTTGATCACACGAGTAGGGACACGTTAAGATACCAAAATGACCAACTATTTAAGCAGAACAGGTGATTCGTAACGCACCCTTTCGAATATGCAGCGAATTTATTTGTCTTCTTACACACAGATTGTAGATTCAAGTGGGTGAAAAGCAACCAGGTTTAAAAATCATGGGCCATTCCTCTCTGTGAAGGAGAATGACCAGTGCAGCTGTTTAGCACACGGCACAGATGTGACACAGAAATTTTAACGAAGGTACGAACACATTTATGCACGATCTTCATCGGTAGTGTTTGCCGACCGCCGCCGCCGCTGTCATTCTCGTTGCCGTTCCCGCCGTTGCTTTTCGGAAGTCCGGACTATACGCGACCTTCCAATTACAACAAGCGAAGAGAAATGTAATTGAAAATGGAGAACGGAAACTTGTCTTTCTGGTCTTTTATATACATTCACGTGGACGACTATCGCCGCCCCGAAGAGCCGGAGGAAACTAGACACGCGCGACGGGACCGCCATCCCGGGATAACGGAAGGAAACTAGGCACGCAGCGCATGGAATGACGACAAAGAGAGGGCGCTGCGAGTTTTTGTTGACGCACATGAAAAATCCACGTAACCCTAGCCATATACAACTTCGCTGTAAAAATGCGTCATTGTTTCCCTAAACATGGTTTGCATTGACGTTACATCAGCTGTCATTGCCTTGCTGCTTACTGGCTTACTGCGTATCTTTTCCAACATACCCCTAGCACCACCAATTTCTTCATATCGCCAAGAACATGGAGTGACCACCCGCTGGTGCGTTGGTGTCACGCATAGAGTTATTATAATGTACGCTAGAGGTTCAAGTGGCCCTAGTGTGCTAACGCAAATTGAAGCAGACAGCAACCAGTCGAAAATTGACTTCCGGTAATGCATTTTTAAGGGGAAAAAGAGAGTGCATTTTCTCTCTGCGCTTGACCACAAGAGCAAATATCCCAAATAATTCGTACGTACTAGGTAGCTTGGAACATTTCCCAGTCATACCGACAAAAGAATTGGTCAGTAATGGCGTTTTTCTTTCAAACTCATCGCATGAGAAACGGGGCTATAACGGCTTCGTACGTGTGTTTATGGGCACTGTCGGACACTGTGAGCGCGAACACGACGTCGGCGCTTTTCAGCATGAGGGATATACGTGCCAAACGAACGAAGGACATCTGGAAATTAAGGGAGACGCCATGAACTAAGCAGTATAACACTGGATCAGTAACTACCCGTGCATGTACGATCAAAATAAATTGAAGGTCACGTAATATATTCCTATATAAAATACTAGCACCGCTTTATTCTTTCTTCTCTGTGCGAAGTTCTACGTTCAAAAGATCACCCGCAAGCTGGACATCTTAGAGAACAAGTGCCCGATAAAAGCCGCCCGGGAGAGAAAACAGTACGAAGAGGCACCTTTCACAGCCCACGCACTTTATTCTTTAGATTTTAAATGTTTTTGTCCGCTCATGCACGAGGGGGTCCTTTTCATACAGTGACAGGACTGGCATATTTTTTTTTTTTTTTTTGTAATCTTCCTTTGAATCGTCGCTTGTTTTTACACACCTGCTGCGGAACACACTTTTGGGACTGAAATGTAGTGGAGTTAAACATCGTTCACTGATGAAGAAAAATGCGCTAACTACAGCAATCACACTTTTACAATGTTAATCAAGGTGCATACTATTTGGTACGACCCAAATAACCAAAGTGTTCTGTGTTATTTTCCGGCGAACAGGCAAAATGCACGCGCGTTTTCCCATAGGAATGCAGAGGAGCACCCCAAAAGTAACTGTTGCTGTCTGCTCTAATATCCGTCAGGGAAGTCGCATAGACACTAGCGCCAGTTGAACCTCTAGCGTACATTATAATAACTCTATGGTGTTGGACTGTAGAGATTGCATGTGCGTTGTGGTTTTTCAGCATGAAAATGGTGTATACTATTCGTCAACTAGCAAATCGCTTCGGAGATTAAATGGTCTGGCGAATTCTTTAGCAAATTCTCATCTCAGGTGTTGGAGGTATCGTTAAAAACAAGACTGCGAAGCTCTTGATTACTTCTGTTGTTTGTTTTGGCAATATGTTATCAATCAGCTTCATCTACGCAGCCTTGGGCCCTTTACTCTCTGGACTGTGTTGCAAGTTTAAAATTTCTATCCTTCCTCTATTCTTTTAAGTAACTTTTAAAGCTTACTCTGTCGCATTGCAGCACTATTTGAAGAGATATTCAGAAGGGGTCTTTCTTCGTTTATTATCTTCTTTTTTTTCTTTTTTCTTTTTTGTGAAGCATGTACAGCGTGTTTTTATTTTAATTTGACCAGACTTTTTGAATCAAAAGAAGTGAAAGTTAGATCAGTGCCCTCTTGACCATGTATTTTCCAGGCTTGGCGGATCCAAGATGAGGGAGCAATTGTCTTGGTAAGTTGACTAATTAACTAAAATATCTAAATTTACTTTATAATGATTGATTTTAGTGGCCATATTCCAGCTGCAGTATTAATGGCATTTGCAACTAGAGCCCAGACAAATTGAAATAACTTGCAAAAATGTAATGTTTTTTTAATATAAATTTTCACGTGAAACGTGAAATTTAATAAATTTTCACGTTTTTTTTTTTTTTTTTTTTTTTTGCCCGATTTAAAATTGCCGCGCAAACAGTGCGCCGCAAGCCCTGCCCAGAATGACGCTTATAAGAATGACGCATGCGTGTCAATCATGTCGTCACAATCTCGGCAGCGTGTCTTTAGTGGGTCCGCGAGCGACCCAAGTGACGGTTGACTGAAACGACTACGTCAGTCTTCTGAACGTCATTGTGGGCAGTGCAGTGCTCGTGGCGCGCTCTACGCGCGCAATTATGAAATTGGGTTAGAAAATTCCAATTTCTCAATATCTCAAAAGCAATTTCATGTTCTCAACCTTTTTTAGTGGCTCTGGCCACTAATAGTAATTGCCGTTAATACTGGTATTGCAATGTCAACTCCTAAAACCAATATTTAAAAGTTAATTAATGTATTTTAGGTAATTAGCTGATTTACAACGATGTTTATCCCGTCACCTACTGTCCGCCGAGCAAAACAAATATATGGCGGAAAAAACACTTCTCTTTCACCCCCCCCCCCCCCCTTTTTTTTTATCTCTACAAATTAAAAATTTGCAGAAGCTGTATTGTGAGTGTGATAACGTCTTTTTCCTAATGTAGTCGCACTTGTCATTTTCTTTTTTAAAATGTGATAAAATCTAAATATCAGTAGACCTTTTTTTCAAAAGCTTACCGGCTCTAGCAGACGACGGAGGTAACCTTGGAAGTGACCGAACTTACGAGGGCGAGCAGGCGAGAACATGGCGAGCAATTCCGCAAGACTCTCTCTCTCTCTCTTTCTCTCTGTGTCAAGTGGTAGGTGGAGATGTGGCAAGGCGAAATTTGCAAGGTGCTCCCGGAATTTCTTTCTCGCTTCGCGCACGGTCTTTTGAGATATATTTTTTAATCTCTATTCAACTCATCCTTTGAAGATTATGTACTGATTTAAAGGGGCCCCGCAACATTTTTTGTCTGCTTTTTATTTCGCACCGATTCTGAGCGCACTGAACGTAATAACTTAATGAATTTATTCTTTTCTCAAATTTCGCTTTATTTTAAAGGTTAGAGGCAAATTATAATTACAAAAGCAAGCAAAAAATAACCTCCTTCATGACGTCGTAGGTCCTGGCTTGAGTGGCCGTGAACTAGAGGAGGGGTAGTGAGCTCATCGAGCGCTCACGGCTGCCGCACTCCGTGTCCACGGCTCGAGAGGGCGCCACTAAAGCACATGTTGGATAGGCTGTACGAAGCGGGCGGCCAGGGCGGCTCGCATTACATTTGCTTCACGATTAAAGACTAATTCGGCATAACACTTCATTGGCCACAAACGACAGCAAACATGAAGTAAATATCAGTTCAGATCGGGAGCCACCTCGCACTGCCATACCGTTAAATGGCAAAACCGCCAGCCAAGCCCGCTCCGAAAGCCTTCGGAACGCTCGGAACCGGTCGGATCCTTGAGCCGGTATACGACCGCAGCGCCGCCGCGTACATCAGGGACCTTTCTACGCTCGCCGTTCGTCGGCGCCTCATCCCACAACTCCTTCCTAGTATGCGCCGTTTTTTCCGCCGCTTGGGGGTGGGTATGTCGACGGGTCATTTCTTGTTTCCGTACTTTATAAACTGCATTTGTTTCTTTTCTGATCTAAAATACTGAACAAAAACTACTTTCATACATAATTGAAACGGTTCGCGAGACATATATTTTGTATCTCGACTAAAAAAAAATGTTAGCTGTTCTGACCAGTAGTAAGCCCAGGACCAAAGACGTCACATATCGCGCACTTTCGGCAACGCGGGTCGCCCTCGTAGTGGAGGAGGTTTCCGCGTTGTCCGGTTAAAAAATGACGCACTGATATTTAGTTTGTCTCTCCGTGCCCGCTGGCTTGCCCGAACCCCAAGAGACGTGGAAACCGCAAAAAAGGTAGACGCTTAAATATGATTGCAGGGCCCCTTTCAGTAACTAAAACATTTGACCCAAATCTTATTGATATTCGAATGTTATGCTTGACAATCTTTGCAGGATGAATTGTCTCTTGTCCGTTGTGTTTTACTTGATGCCGTGGTGAATGGCTTTACAGCGATAGCTGTTATGGGCACTTCCCACCCCTAGAAATGACGTCCGTCGTTGAGGTTGTAGTTGTTGATGTGTTAGTTCGTGCTGTAGTTGTTTATGTTGTTGTTGATGTCGTTGTTTGCGTTGTATGGCGTCCGTCATCGACGTTGCCAAATCCTTAAAAAATCGCCCGCCGCTTGAGGGAATCAAACCTGGGGCCGCTGCGTGTGAAGTGGAATTTTCCGCGCCAAGTTTAGCGGGAAAACTTTCCTGCTACATTTTGCGGAAAAATTTCCGGCTAGGGTTAGCCGCAGAACGCGCTCCGCTGGAGCTCATGATTCCTCGACCGTTCGTCTCGGCGTTCGAAAAGAGAATCGAGCTACACCACAGCGTGAACAACCCGCTTTAAACTTAAGGTTTTTGTAGTACCCTACGCCCTCAAAACGCGCTCTCTGGATAAAAAAAAAAAGAACAAAAAAACATTCGATAACAAAATGACGTCGTAGCACAGAAGCTCGTGCCGGAAGTCGTGCAGTCACGCGCACCGGAACAAAAAAGAAACAAAAGCGTTCGAAAAAAAATGGTCAAATATCTATTGTTTTGAACGCCTTTGTTTACGCACTCCACGGTGCCCAACGACTTTGCGTGACGTGTCGCAGCTATTGCTTGTTCTCTAAATTAACACAGGACTTTTCTTTATTAATTTTTTTATGTGAGTGCGAAACAATAGGCAATCTTAGGAAGAAAGCACTAGAAAAGGATCTTTGTGACGCAATCCGGATTAATATGGAAAACTTTAATGTGCACGTCAGAGGACACGCGTCACGCCGCTGTCGTCGCTTTTGTACCTATGAGCAGGGTGTCGAACCGGAACAGAACCGTTATATTTAGCCGAACCTGAACTGAACCGAACCGAAACCTTTCCCGCCATCTTGGAACTGAACCGGAACCGAACCGAAAAAAAATATAACGGTAACCGGTTCAAAACGGTTCAAGGTAATATTTCTTTTTTTTTCTCTTTTTTGTTACTATCACAAAATCAACATATGGGAATAAAAAATTGGCGGCTGTATTTCTATCTATGGATCAAATCGTCATATACAGAATTTAAAAGTATGGTAAGTTGTGGGTTTTCATGACACTATGATTAACCATGTGTCACGTTTTCACGTGACGTCATGGTGTCAATAAATGTTGTCACGTGACCTCGTGACGTCATGTGACTCACTGCGTCAACTCTATTTAATTTGAGGAAGTCACTAGATGTATTAGCATTGTTGACAGCATGACGTAACATGACATCATGATTTCGCACCGAGAGTCACGTGACACCGTGACGTAAGTGATTTTCATAACCCCTAGTTGAGTGCTCGGGTTCATGACAATCAGCACCGCTAAACATTCGGGTAACGGCTCATCTCAATTAGATATGATAGTAGTCGAATTCTAACAATATCTGAAGCTCCCAGCCCAAGCTTTTGCTTTCCAAACCCTAGCCGCCTAGAGCATGACTGTGATGAACACTGGCGGTATCAGATCACGTGGCCGCCTGTTTGAATTGCGAGTTGAGGAGATATCGACAGCTGTCTCTTTCCTTTATTTTTTCTGCATCTGCTATTAGGGGAAAACTAATGGATGTTTCCGCAAGCTATCAACGTTAGGAGTTATTTCTTAACACTATTTATTGAAAGTACAAGAAAAAATGTTGCAAGACCCATTTTACATAATTGAGGCACCCAAATATTTTTTCGTTGTTGCTGAACTGCATCCGAAAGATGTCCCTGAGAATAGAAGTACTGAAATTACTAAATACGACTTATTAATATGACGTTACATAAACTACACGCGTGTACGGAAGAAATACTAAAACAAAGGATATTTTAGTGACTCAAAGAGGCAGCCGAACGTTGGCAGTCGCTGTAAGTCCCACACGAGCGTCGTTCTCAAGTTATTGCCCAAGTTTCGACTCCCTCTGTACTTTGCTTAAGGAGCTAAAAAAAATTCTATACATCACTAAATACTACTCAGGATCATTCTCTAACGTTAATAACTGCTTGAAGTTGGCTTTGTTATTTTTTCTAGGCAATGGCAGTCGCAAAAAAATTCGAGAAATATGATCATCGTTCATCCCCTCAACTCGGAGCCAGAAGCGGCCATGTGGCCCGGTGCCTATCTTATGCCGCCAACGTTAATCATACCCCCGCACTGGAGTTTTAAAGGGAAAAAAACGCGTGCTCAGCTCCAGGCATTGTTAGAGTTCGGCTATTCTCATCACAGCAGTGGTTGGACACGAGCCACTACCCAAGTGTCTGCCAAGACATTGTTTGTTACGAGCCGATGTACGGTGCTCACGCAGTCCTCCTGTCCAATCCATGAGCTGCGCTCGACTGTGGTCAGGCGGGGTGGTTTTGATCCTACAATTTTGACATCAATTTTTGGGAAGGCAAGACTAAAAGAAATAGTCTCATTTAATCATCGCAATTTCACCGCGACAAAGAAGCTTCTGAATCAGTGGTGGCCTGTGCGAGTACACTTGGGCCAGAGGACCAGTACGCCTCGGAAAAGTCATGAACATTCCAACCCGATGTCGTTTTATGACCCATCTAAGCTTCACGGGGTGCAAAATAAAAGCAATGAAGGGTTGAGGTTAACAAGTGTCAAATAAAATTGTCGAATGAGCACACACCAACGGAGGAGGCAATTCCTCAGGAATACTTTCAGCCTTCCACTCTGGAGAAGAAGGAAGACCAGCGAAGCTGTACTATGGTGTAAATGAAGTAATGGCCGGCCGCAAGTCGGCAAGCCAGAGTGGAAAGGCTGGAGAGGTTGCCGCCATCTATGCGCGACGGCGGCAACCAGACAACCGGCAAGCCGGTTGTCTGGTTGCCGTCGTCATTTATAGATGGCGGTAGCTGTCCAGAGTTTAGTGTCATCATTTGTTTGCTGACGGACACGACACTGGGGAAACTAGCCCTTAACAGCTCCGCTGTATAAAGAAGTGCGTGTGTGTGAGGGGGGGGGTGGGGGAGGGGGAGGGGGAGGGGGGGAGGGGGAGTTTTAAAAACATACTGTATTGCAAAGGCTCCTCTTCCGTGCATCTTTGGCGCAGACCAAAAAGCGTGACTCTGGAAAATACTTTGTTTGCAAAAACGCTCTGACCAAAAAGCACGTTTTTGTCGTGCCAGACGCTCGCGCTGTTCCTAGTAAAAAGCGTCTGACTCGCAATTAAAGGGTCGTGGGTTCGAATCCCGCCTAAAATCCTTAAATTCTTAATTTTTTTTCTTTAAGGCAAAACAATTACTTTTAAAAGTGAAATCATTTGAGACATACGGCGACCTTTAATGCGCACTACATGTCATGTTTTAATCACTCTCATTCCACGCGTGATGTCACGTTTCACGTGAGCATTGTGGGTTCCTTGAAATTCTTGTGCGAGGGTATGTAGCTCTGACGTCATGAACCTATCGACCAATCAGGATTTTCCAAACACGCCACCGACATCGGCTTTTCTGCGACATAGGCTCCTTAACGCTATCGGGTTAAGATCATCAGTTAGCAAAGGTGATGCTCATTTGCAAATTAAATTGACCGGCATCTTGTCAAGAACAAACCTCAACAGCCAGGCTATGCCAGCTTATTCTGCATAAGAAAATTTTCACTTGGGCAAGCGCTATTTTGGGCCAGATTCGATCTGACTGCGAAGGGGAGTATAGATTAGAGTGAACAATTGGGATGACTTCTTGCTGCATGATTAGTGGCATGCATGCGGTGCTGAGTGTAAACAATGTTTGGTTAGAACAACAAGCATTTGGATTGCCGCTCGGTGTTTCTATAAAAAAATAGTCTGGAAGGAATTATCCTAAAACTTTTGGTACATTCTGAAAATTTCATTGCTTTTAGCTCAGTTGTGTCGTCACCATATACATATATATTGTGAAGCGTATTTCGTAAATCTTATTTCGTAATTAGCATGAGCACGAGGTGCTAATTTCATAATTTTATGTGATGTAATTAATTCCTTAGTTCTAGGACACAATCACGATTTCATTTTTAGCACTGCGACACTAAGTTGTATTAATCACGTGTATTTTAGGCGACCTACCACACTGCGTCAACATTTCATACCGTGTAAATAGATCAGCTTGAACTTTAGAATTTTACTTAAACACGAAGAAAGCACAATAAAATACAGTATAGTTATAAATTTGAAGCTGATCTATTTACAGGTATGTACCAACCAGCTTAACTCTTTACTCTTGTACTTAAACATTTTGATTCAGGTAAAATATATGTTACTGGTAAACAAAGGGATGTGGAGTCGTATGAACACGACGTTATGTATGTTAATGTATATTCTTTCTACTCTTGCGTCGAAATTAAATAACTGGATGTAATATTTTTGGTACCTAAAAACAAAAGTAAATTGCACAGACGATCGAAGAAACTATATAGTTAATCGTTTCACGGCGTAAATAGTGTATATTGCCAGAACAACGCGAAAAATATATTCTCAATTTAGCGGTTGAAACCGGTTCGAACCGGTTCGAACCGGTTTGAACCGTTATTTTTTGCTCCCCGGAACTGAACCGGAACCGAACCAAAAGCCGTGAACCCGAACCGGAACCGAACCGATAAAAATGTCGGTTCGACACTCTGCCTATGAGCGCAGACACCATTGTCGTTGTTACATAAAAGTTCGCAGCGCAATAACTAAATGAGCAGACCAACTTACGTTCTTGTACTCTTTCCACCGGTCCATCTCCACAATTCTCCTCCAGATCCTGTAGAGACAGATGCGAGCCGACACCACCAGTAAGCACTCGCCATCTCCGGTCATCAAGTCGGCCACGTTTCGGACAGCCGCCGCGAGGTCTTCCACCCAGTTCAAGGCAAAGAACGAGTAGACGCGCTCGAACTTGCCATACTTCTCTAAGAGCCTCGAGACGTCGCTTTCGATGTCGTGTATTTCGTACGCGATCTTCTCGTGCGGGAAGTTTTTCCTGGCGTACTCCACCATGGTTGGAGAGGCGTCGGTGGCCACAATCCTTCGGCAGGGCTCGCAGCGCGGCAGCAGTTCTTGCCGCGTGAAGTCGCCCGTCCCACAGCCCACGTCGAGGAACTGCTGGTTGGCGTCGTTGGATGATGCGAAGGACAATGCCAGTAGGTCGAGAGCTTTGACGCTGATCGTTCGCTGGAGTTGGTGCGCCTTGATGTAGAGCTCCGGAACAATGTTCGCTACGAGCGGTTGATCGTCGAGATTATTGGCGTCAAAAGAAGCACTGGCCATGTTGCTGTTGGAGTTTTCCCTGTTCAAAGGACAAAATAAAGTTTGATTGCTGTTTCGGTATAAATGAGTCAGATTAGAACATAATTCGAGTGGCGATGTGGGTGAGTTGGTACATGTTTAAAAGCAATACACGAAAAACAGCGCAACAAAAACAACGAAGACGGAAGAAAATTGCGCAAACGAACGCTAACAAAATACGGATGGATATCCCTTTAAGGTTACGGCAATATCGCTACCTAAGGAAATTACGGGTACGTTATATTCTGATCACTAAAAGACGTTGAGAGAGACCATCGGAGTGGAAACACATTACCACTTCTCGCTTACGCAAGTTTATAAACCCGTGGGCTGTCTCGCTGTGTGCTAGAGTATGTATCAATGTTCACAATAATGCCGCGCGCGCAGCTGGCCAAGTAGGCAGCGCGCGCATGGCCTAATGGTTATCGCGCCTGCCTCCCACGCGAAAAGCTAGGGTTCGAATCCTGGGAGCGACGTGTCTTTTGTTTATCCCTGCATTGTAATGTTCTGGCAAATTCGAGAATCCTGCTTGTTCCAGGCCCGAATGTTCTACGCGTCGAAGTTTCTACGCCGATTATTCCAGAAGACCACGCATGTACTATCGGGGAAAAATGAAATGCGAACAGAGGAGCGCGTGGCTCGCGGTACAGGCTGCGCCGCCTGGAAATGAGCCTAGGAGCGAGGGTGCGTGGCCTACTCCGACGTGTTCACGCCCCTCCCTCTGCGCTCCCCAAGCTTCAGCAGTGTGCCACTAAGTGCGCTGAAAGCTATCACCGCTATCTTTGCTGGCTCAGCGCGTGCGGTGCAAAGAAGCCCGCCGCACTCGCCGAGCAGGCAAAGATAGCGGTGACAGCTTTCAGCGCACTGAGAGGCGCACTGCCGAACCTGGGGGAGCGCCAATCGAGGGGCGTGAAGACATCGAAGTAGGCCCCGCACCCTCGCCCCTAGGCTCACTTCCAGGCGGCGCAGCCTGTACCGGGAGCCACGCGCTCCTCTGTTCGCATTTCATTTTTCCCCGATAGTACATAAGGGGCTCCGCGTGGCGAGCCACAGTCAGTTTTCGCCCAGCGTTCGACTCTGCTGCTACGCCGACTTCGACGCCCGCGACGCTCCGTTATTATCTTTTGTACCCATTTATTTTTGGCACAAGTTCGCCACATTAAACGTTTATTTCTTTCTGTTTATTTATTGTTTATTGGTCACCACCCGTGACATTTTGGTGGAGGTGCTGGGTACCGCATGCCCGTGCAGCGTTCCCCTCCCAGGACCCGCAGTGCAAGCCCGACCCCAAGCTCGGTGAAAAGACCACTCAGCGCGGACCCTGAAACTCGGACCAGCCGCCGCACCAAGGAAGAGGATCCGGAGTACGGTTTGCTGCTGGACAAACCCAAGCCGAAGACGACGATGGCCAACCAGTCGCAGACCCCCGCCGCTCCTGCCGTCGTCTACCTACCCGTCGCTCCTCGGACACCGGCTCCCTTCCACGGCGAAAGCCACGAAGACATCGACGACTGGGTCCAACAGTACGAACGAGTGGCCCGTCATAGCGGGTGGACACCGGAACAGTGTCTGCAGAACGCCTACTTCGCCTTTGAAGCCACCGCCCGCAACTGGTTCGAGAACCACGAAGCTTCGATCACTTCTTGGGAACAACTCAAGGCTGAGTTGAGAAGAACGTTCACGAACCAACAACGAAAAGAACGCGCGGAAGAGCTTCTTCAAGCGAGGATTCAAGGCCCTAACGAGAGCGTCGTTAGCTTCGTGGAAGATGTCCTGCGACTGTGCAACCGCGCCGATCCCGAAGCATCCGAAACAAAGAAGCTCAGAGTCTTGATGCGCGGCGTCAAGGAAAACATTTTCGGTGGTCTAGTGCGGAGCCCGCCTACCACCGTCGAAGGCTTCATGGCGGAGGCCACCAACATCGAACGTGCCCTTCAAGCACGAGCCGCCCACTATCACCGAGTTCCCGGCGTCGGTTCCTTTTCGCCTTCCGGCTGCAACACTACGGGCATCCGCGAGATAATCCGAGACGTCGTCCGGGAGGAGATCAAGAAACTTCTACCTGCCGCCGCAAGCCCAGCTTCACCCTCAATCGCCGAGATTGTCAGGGAAGAAGTCCAGCAAGCGCTGCAGCCTGAGGTTCTCGTCAGCAACGCTCCGGAACCACCGACGTTGAGTTACGCCGCAGTGGCCCGACGGCCACCGCCTCCTCGTCGCACCTATGTAACGCCGCCCCGACGTCAGTCTCCTGCGCCGCAGCACGACCGACGCCACGACCACCAGGTCCAGTACGCCTGCCTGGAGCCTCGCGCACCCTGCCAGACCGACGTGTGGCGAACGCCCGACCGACGCCCCCTGTGCTTCCATTGCGGGGAAGCGAACCACACCTACCGCCGATGCCCATACCGACGACTTGGGCTACGCGGGTTCCACCCGAACCACCCGCGCCCCCGTCATGGTGAACGCCCTATCGAGATCGACGAGTACCTGCGACGACCTCAGTCCCCCGAGCCTGCGTCCCGCCGAGAGTTCCGGTCGCCGTCACCGCGACGTCCAGCTTCGCCGATGCACCGACCACGACGTGAAAGCCTGTCCCCCCTCGCTCCTCGCCGGGGAAACTAGGCGCGGCAACCCCTGGAGGTGGTGTTGCCGAAGACGACCGACGCCAAGATCCTCCACGAACGTCGGGGGGCCCCCACTCGAAGGCTACCAGAGACCAAAACGCCGCCGCTGCAGTGGTGTCCAATAACCTAAACGTCGTCATCGACGGCCACGACGCATCTGCACTCGTGGACACCGGAGCAGACTACTCAGTCTTGAGTGGGAGGCTCTCCCGCCGCCTTCGAAAAGTCACGACGCCGTGGGATGGACCTCAAATACGAACCGCCGGAGGGCATCTCGTCACACCAGTCGGAAGATGCACCGCTCGCGTCAAGATCCATGGGGAGACGTGCCCTGTGAAATTTGTCATTCTACAAGACTGTGCCAGGGACGTCATTCTCGGCATGGACTTTCTGTCTGAATACGGCGCCGTCACCGACCTTCGTGAAAACAGATTGACACTGCGAACCCCTGTGCCACCTTCAGAGAAACCCCAAACAGCGTCAGCCGCCATCCGAGTCGCTGCCGACCACGTGAACCTGCCACCGCGATCAAGTGTTGTCATACCCGTCGTGGCCGATACAGCTACCTGCGGCGAAGTCGTCCTGGAAGGCAACCTTCAATTGCTCCTGGGAAGAGGAATAGGCGTCGCAAGAGGAGTAGCTGAACTTCAGGATGGGCGGAGTGAGGTCCTCGTGACGAACTTCCGAAATGAAACGCAACACCTCACAAAAGGTGCCGCTGTGGGCCACGTCGAGAAACTTCGGAACTCCGCCGAAATCGCCGCGATTGCTGAAGAATCATCACCACCTCAGCAAGGCAGTAAGTCGCCAGCGCAGCTTGACATTGACCCTAAGCTTCCGGGCCCAAAACGACGGCAGCTGATTAACCTCCTCACCGAGTACCGCAACTGCTTTGCGACGTCGTCGAGGGTGCGCCAAACTGCCGTTGCGAAGCACCGAATCGTTACCGAGGACGACGCGCGCCCTGTGCATCGATCGCCGTACAGAGTCTCCGTCAAAGAAAGGGAGGTGATCCAGGAGCAAGTCCAACAGATGCTGAACGACGACATAATTCAGCCATCAAGCGGTCCTTGAGCTTCTCCAGTCGTACTGGTTAAGAAGAAGGACGGAACGCTTAGGTTCTGCGTGGACTACCGGCAGCTGAACGCGGTGACGAAGAAAGACGTCTACCCACTTCCCCGCATCGACGACACATTAGACCGGATGCACCACTCTCGATACTTCTCATCGATGGACCTGAAGAGCGGCTACTGGCAGATCGAAGTCGACGAACGGGACCGAGAGAAGACAGCTATCGTCACGCCGGATGGGCTGTACGAGTTCAAGGTGGTGCCCTTCGGACTATGCACGGCGCCAGCCACTTTCCAGCGTGTCATGGACACCGTACTGGCAGGACTGAAGTGGCAGAACTGTCTCGTCTAGCTCGATGACGTCGTAGTGTTTTCCAGCGACTTCGGCGAGCACTTGCGACGACTCCGTGCTGTTCTTCAAGCCATACGGACCGCCGGACTCACCCTCAAGCCGTCAAAGTGTCGGTTCGCCTATGACGAACTGAAGTTTCTAGGCCACGTGGTTAGTAACGAAGGCGTTCGCCCCGACCCAGAGAAGGCTCGCGCCGTCGCGTCATTTCCAGCGCCGACAGACAAGAAGGCCGTGCGAAGATTCCTTGGACTTTGTGCCTACTATCGTCGCTTTGTTCGGGATTTCGCAAGGATTTCCGCACCACTCACAAACCTCACGAAGGACGCCGAGAGGTTCGAATGGGCCGAGGAACAGCAGCAAGCATTCGACGAGCTGAAGCGACGACTCCAGACGCCTCCGGTTCTTGGACATTTCGATCAGGATGCGGACACCGAGATTCACACTCACGCAAATAACGCAGGACTTGGCGCGGTACTAGTTCAAGTACAAGAAGGCACCGAGCGAGGCATCGCCTACGCAAGTCGGACACTGTCCAAGGCAGAGAGAAACTACTCCACGACTGAGAAAGAATGCCTTGCGGTCGTCTGGGCAATTACGAAGTTTCGTCCGTACTTGTACGGAAGCCCGTTCCGCGTAGTCACGGACCACCACTCGCTCTGCTGACTTGCGAACCTCAAGGACCCGTCAGGACGCCTCGCTCGATGGAGCCTCCGGCTACAAGAGTTCAACATGACTGTGGTTTACAAGTCGGGACGCAAGCACAGCGACGCTGACTGCCTGTCCAGGGCCCCTGTCGAAACACCTCCCGGCAGCAGCGACGACGATGACGACGAGTGCTTCCTAGGGGCAGTGAACACCGATGACATGGCACGACGTCAACGAGACGATCCGGAGCTGCGCGCCTTAATGGAGCACCTGGAAGGGCGCGTGAGTACC